GACAAAAGCAGGAAAATATCAAAACCAACAGACACAGGTACTAAGTTTTAGAAGCTGCGCCCCCCTTCAGTACAAGAGAAGCGTGATTGAAGGAACTGTTCACCAGGTTTTCCGCAGTACATCAACATGGGAAGAATATGATAAAGTTATGAAAATCAACCGTGAGCAGTGGTTGGATAACCAATATCCGGAAAGTTGGTCGTCGCTGGTTGCATCCCGTGCCATTGAAAAGATCATCAGGGAGGGCAAAAAGAAAAAGAACTTGGCTGAGAAAAAGAAGCCCTGTGATTATAGCCGTGATTCACCACCCATCTTGATGGTCCAATATAGGGGGAATCACAGTCAGACATTAGCAAAAAAAGAGCGCGTTATCACCAATGCGCTGATGATATTCACGACAAGGAAAAAGAAAACTTGTATGCCCTCTCTAAAATCCTCCTCTTCCAGTGAAGTGGTGTACAGACTTGAATGTTGTGGGTGCAAATCCATCTATGTTGGCCAGACGGTCCGACATCTCACCACAAGGATTGAGGAACACCGAAAAGAGGTTACCCAAGTTGGACAGCATATAAGGTAGTGTGGTAGTGAGAGTGGTAAGTCTGAGTTTAAAGGGAAAATAATCGACCAGGCGTCCAGCAGCATCAAATTACTCACACTAGAGGCGCTGCACATTAGGAACGAAAGACTGGCAATTAACATGCGCGACGAGTTTAGAAGTAGGGAGCTGACACTAACGCTATAGTTCCAGAATTGAAAAATTCTGGCTAAAACAATAAATTTTTGAAAAAACTTACATGTTAGCATGAAAATTAGCGACAAAATTAAGTTGTAAAAACAGAAAAGGTGAAAACTCTCAGAAATTTGTGACAAAATGTTTAAAATTGTTACATAATAGTTGTTACATAATTTCAGTAAAATTTGTAAAGTTTTGATTGGTTGATTTTTTAAAATTTTGGAAAAATGATGTGTATGACACTTTTTATGATCTTTGATCATTTTGTACAGATAGTTTAGATTTTTTAAAACCTGAAGATGCACAAAAATGTGCGAAAACGTTTGTTTGAATTTACAATTTTAACGCACATTCAAAATATAAAAACTGTTCGAACAATACGAAGACGAAATAACTTGTACTGTGAAAGGGGAATCAAATATAAAACTTCATAGAGTGAATTAATTGTGTACAACATAACAATTTACAAACAAAAAATGAAAGAAACTGAATTAGCTTTTTGGACATAATTTTTGAAGCATACCAACAAAGAGAGATCACATACAAGTGGTATCGAAAATCAACTGATACTGAAACTGATACTGTTAAAGTTATGAAAATCAACCGTGAGCAGTGGTTGGATAACCAATATCCAGAAAATTGGTCGTCGCTGGTTGCATCCCGTGCCCTTGAAAAGATCACCATGGAGGGCAAAAAGAAAAAGAACTTGGCTGATAAAAAGAAGCCCTGTGATTATAGCAGTGATTCACCACCCATCTTGATGGTCCAATATAGGGGGAATCACAGTCAGACATTAGCAAAAAAAGTGCGCGTTATCACCAATGCGCTGATAATTTTCACGACGAGGAAAATAAAAACTTGTATGCCCTCTCTAAAATCCTCCTTCTCCAAAGAAGTGGTGTACAGACTTGAATGTTGTGGGTGCAAATCCATCTATGTTGGCCAGACGGTCCGACATCTCACCACAAGGATTGAGGAACACCGAAAAGAGGTTACCCAAGTTGGACAGCATATAAGGCAGTGTGGTAGTGAGAGTGGTAAGTCTGAGTTTAAAGGGAAAATAATCGACCAGGCGGCCAGCAGCATCAAATTACTCACACTAGAGGCGCTGCACATTAGGAACGAAAGACCGGCAATTAACACGCGCGACGTGTTTAGAAGTAGGGAGCTGACACTAAGGCTATAGTTCCAGAATCGAAAAATTCTTGCTAAAACAATAACTTTTTGAAATAACTTACATGTTAGCATGAAAATTAGCGACAAAATGAAATTGTAAAAACAAAAAAGGTGAAAACTCAAAAGAAATTTGTGACAAAATGTTTAAAATTGTTACATAATAGTTGTTACATAATTTCAGTAAAATTTCTAAAGTTTTGATTGGTTGAATTTTTAAAATTTTGGACTAATGATGTGTATGACACTTTTTATGATCTTTGATCATTTTGTACAGATGGTTTAGAATTTTTAAAACCTGAAGATGCACAAAAATGTGCGAAAACGTTTGTTTGAATTTACAATTTTAACGCATTCTCAAGATATAAAAACTGTTCGAACGATACGAAGATGAAATAACTTGTACTGTGAAAGGGGAATCAAATATAGTACTTCATAGAGTGAAATAATTGTTATAACAGCACAATTTACAAACAAAAAGTGAAAGAAATTGAATTAGCTTTTTGGACATAATTTTTGAAGTATACCAACAAAGAGAGATCACATGCAAATGGTATCGAAAACCAACTGATACTGAAACTGAGACTGTATTTGAGGAAGGAACAACACGCAGGAAAAAAAAGCATTGAGGAAGGAACCGGGAAAAGGAACAATTTTGACGAAGCGTTAAAAACTAATGAGGAACTTTGGACAAAAAACCCTGAATCTGTAATCCTGGACATCAAAAATTGTGAAAAAATTTCACAGAAAGCAAAAGCTGAACCCAGTCGCGAGGAAATTGACAAACTGACATTTTTTCTTAAGTATGGACAATCTAAGGCATTTGATTGGCGAGTAATTGACAAAAGCAATGAGGCTGAGAAATTATTAACATCGGAGGCCCTCCATATAAGTTAACGCAAGCCACAACTGAACACGCGCGATGAGAACAGGAGCCGTTAGGTCATACTAAAATATTAGTCTGACATTAGGTATGTGAGATGGATTCGAATTTTATTTTCAATTTGAAACATGCAAAATGACTAAATTTATTAGTTTATCCTGAGAAATGATTTCATAAAGGTGAGAAAATTGGTTTAAAAAAATTGTTTTAATAATTGTTTAATATTCTTAGATACTCATACACTTCAACATTAATCATTTTGATTGTAAAATTCTTTTTGACTGTGAATACTTTGACTTTTAGTTGTAGATACCTGATAATGCTAGTTAAAGCAAATCTTTTGTATTTTAATAATTTTTTATTGACTTAAAAGTATTTAAACCAATTTATTTGCTAGTGTTCTACTTCGCTCTTAAAAAAATTGTAGACTAACAAAAAGTTGAACAATTTAAATGAACACTTGTCTAAAAATTTATTGAATAAAATAGTAGACTAACCGTCCACATCTTTGCAGTTTCCGTATCGTTTCCAGTTGTGTTACAAAATTGCCATATGCCTCCGTGGGAGTTCTCAGATGTAAAACCGTATTTTGAATGGGTATAGAAAGAAAAACTCAAAACGATTGCTGCAACTGCGAGTGTAAGGTAGCTTACAAGTCAAGTCAAGTCAAGTCAAGTCAAGTCAAGTTCTTATGACCATTAGGCAGTGCCCCTTGTGGTCATTTCAAATGTTTTTTTCCTATCTCTGTTCGAATTCGTACATGTCAATTCCAATCGCTTTCCAATGTTTGTCCAGTTCCCACTTGAATTCGTCGATATTCTTGCTTTGCACTGTTTCCTGTGGCAGATTATCCAGTCGAGAGGTGCCTTTATCGTGAAGAAATTTTTTCGCATTTCTAGATTTGCTTTACGTACTACCATTTTACATGCGTTACCTGTAGAATCCCTATCATTCCTTCGAATAGTCTCGCAATGGCCGTCCTATCATACAAACCATGGCAGATTTTATACATTTCTATCATTGTCCCTCTTTTCCTTCTGTATTCCAGCAATGATAGATTCAGTTCTTTGAGGCGTTCGTAATAGGATAGAATTTTCATACATCTAACCAGATGCGTCGCTCTTCTTTGTACGTTTTCCAAGATCTTTTGATGCTTGATCGGTCTTGGGTGCCATATTAAGTTCGCAAATTCAAGGTGTTGCCGTATCAAGCATTTGTAGATGTTTAAAAATACTTGTTTCGTGACTTTAGTGAAGCTTTTTTTAATTACTACTATCATGCCGTTTGCCTTATTGGCTTTTTTAGTGATGGGTGTTTCGAATGTCAGTTTGTTGTCAAGCCAGATACCCAAGTATTTTTCGAGTTGCACTTCTTTAATGTTTTCGCCATTGATTTTATAAATCCTCTCCATATCCAGTTTCTTGTTTCCTATTGTCATGTGAACACAATTGTCGATATAAAAGGACAAAAGACTTTGGCCTGACCAAGTTTCTAGTGATTGTAAATCTTCATGTATGCGTGTTACATCCAATTTGTCTTCAATTTGACGGTATAATTTCGCATCGTCAGCAAGTATGTATATTTTTGACGCTATTTCGTCCGGCATTGTGTTGATGTATATCAAAAACAAAACTGGATCGAGTACTGAACCCTGGGGTAACCCACTATTTACTGGCTGCCATGAGGATCTTGAATCGTTGATTACCACTCTCTGTTGTCGTCCCGAAAGAAAGTCTGTTATCCAGTTCAAGGTTCTTCCAGTTACTCCATACTGTCTAAGAACTCCGATTAGTCTTTTGTGCGGTACCGAATCGAAGGCTTTTTTGAAGTCCAAGTATATCACGTCGACATTTTCATGATTGTCCATTGCCTCGTGTGAGTGCCTCCGATCGCGTGGCAGATCTAACTTCATTTCGTTTGGTTTTATGTTTGGTTAAATTGTCGGCTATTTGATAATTTTTGAATGTTTTCCAGGCATTCATTTTTTCTCTTATCTTCATGCGCACCGCCCCTGCTAGCGGCATTTGGTTGCCACTGCTGCGTATCTTAATTAAAGGCACGGATTTTTTGACTAACTCTTTCATGCAGTTTTTTTAGTTTTTCTCATGTATTTAACTGAACTTTTGGGTCAGCTAGATGGTTTCTCATCCCGTGGTAGTCTCCTTTTTCATAGTTTCTGCGGTTTTTACATTTCGATTTAATCCTGTTTACTGGCACATCTATCTTGACAAGGACATGGTCACTTTTTCCGATTGGCGCCTCTAACGTGATGTCTAGATCGTTTAAGACTATATCTGACATCACAATATCGAGCAGTGATGCCTTGTCTCTGCCAGTTAGCCTTGTAGGCTCTTCGTTATGTTGTGTTAGTAGTGCGTCTTTTATTGCCTCTATAAAGGTGAACTCAGCGCTATTTTCATCTTTTAATGTACTCATGATCTCCCAATCTATCTGTGGTAGATTTGTGTCTCCCACTATTAGTGTTGAGTCATTTGACTGTGTTTCTTTCAAATTGGCGATCAAATTGGAAAAAACGTTTGAATCACCAAGCTTGCAACCTAACGGTTTGTGCAGCTAGTTTAAAAAACGTCAACACCGATTCAAAGCAAGTGTCTACTGTCAGAGGGAAATACTTTCAAATTATCTTCCAGAGACTTCTCGAGACAGGCTGCCTTGTAATTCAAGTTTAAACACGTCGTCTTCAAACGGAAGTAGCGTTACAAGGGGGTGGTGAAGCAATGCTTTGAACTGCACCAAGCTAAGGAACTGGAACTGCTTACTGGAGAAATTTGAAATTGAAAGCAGAAAAAGGTATCAATGTTCCTCTACTCGAAATGAAAGAACAAGGAACAAGAATTCGTAATTGACAAGAATTATTCAAAACTCAGAATTACCGGAGCTCAGCCCGCTAGTTTTCACGGCTTGACTAAAGCACATAAAAAGAAACACCACTCCGTCTGGTTCTATCAATTGTTGGTAGTAGTTAGCATAAAATGAACAAATTTTTGACCACCTTTTTGAAAAACCTTTGTAAAGTTTTTTCCTGGAAACTCAAAAAACTAATTCTTGATGAAAATGAACAGATTGTTTCACTAGACGTTAATAGTTTGTACACAAACGTTCCCGTATCGGAAGCATTTGAGATTGCCTTACGAAATTTGATACAACAGAAAAGGCACCAGCTATTGAGCGTTCACTAATCTTGGGCCCAATGAAAGTTTGATATCTCTAGATGTGAAGAGTTTGTATACACATGTTCCACTGAAAGAAGTGATACACATATCTCTGAGAAAACTGTATGAGCAAGATGAACCACCATCATTTGATAGGAAAACCATGAAGAGACTATTGAACATGGCAGTTAGTCAAGTCCATTTCAAGTGCAAGGAAACATGGTACGTTCAGAAAGATGGTTTGGCAATGGGGGCATGTCTTGCCGTTATTTTAGCAAATCTTTGACTGAAGCAGTACGAAACTGCACTTTCGAGGGATATTCCCGAAATGTTTTTGCCCGAGAAAGATTTTAACGGAATATGTCCCGAGTGCAATAAGAAAGTCACGCAAGGGTCAAAAGGTGTAGAATGTGAATGCTGTTTGAACTGGTTTTACGTAAAATGCGGTGATATATCAGATGATGAGTATCAAAATATAAGTAAAGCCGTCTGGTACTGTAGAAAATGCATCGCAATAAGAGAGAAAAACAACTTCTCCGTCACGTTGACGATATGGTGAGAACAGTGCAGGGAGATCCTGAAAAAGTGCTACGGGCTGCAAACTTACTACATCCAAATTTATAGTTCACAATAGAGACACCAAACACAAACGAAAAATTGGCATTTTTGGATATACAAATAAGTATTGACAAAAGCAGGAAAATATCAAAACCAACAGACACAGGTTCCATAGTACCAAGTTTTAGAAGCTGCGCCCCCCTTCAGTACATGAGAAGCGTGATTGAAGGAACTGTTCACCGGTTTTTCCGCAGTACATCAACATGGGAAGAATATGATAAAGTTATGAAAATCAACCGTGAGCAGTGGTTGGATAACCAATATCCAGAAAGTTGGTCGTCGCTGGTTGCATCCCGTGCCCTTGAAAAGATCACCAGGGAGGGCAAAAAGAAAAAGAACTTGGCTGATAAAAAGAAGCCCTGTGATTATAGCAGTGATTCACCACCCATCTTGATGGTCCAATATAGGGGGAATCACAGTCAGACATTAGCAAAAAAAGTGCGCGTTATCACCAATGCGCTGATAATTTTCACGACGAGGAAAATAAAAACTTGAATACCCTCTCTAAAATCCTCCTTCTCCAGTGAAGTGGTGTACAGACTTGAATGTTGTGGGTGCAAATCCATCTATGTTGGCCAGACGGTCCGACATCTCACCACAAGGATTGAGGAACACCGAAAAGAGGTTACCCAAGTTGGACAGCATATAAGGCAGTGTGGTAGTGAGAGTGGTAAGTCTGAGTTAAAAGGGAAAATAATCGACCAGGCGGCCAGCAGCATCAAATTACTCACACTAGATGCGCTGCACATTAGGAACGAAAGACCGGCAATTAACACGCCCGACGTGTTTAGAAGTAGGGAGCTGACACTAAGGCTATAGTTCCAGAATCGAAAAATTCTGGCTAAAACAATAAATTTTTGAAATAACTTACATGTTAGCATGAAAATTAGCGACAAAATGAAATTGTAAAAACAAAAAAGGTGAAAACTCAAAAGAAATTTGTGACAAAATGTTTAAAATTGTTACATAATAGTTGTTACATAATTTCAGTAAAATTTCTAAAGTTTTGATTGGTTGAATTTTTAATATTTTGGAATAATGATATGTATGACACTTTTTATGATCTTTGATCATTTTGTACAGATAGTTTAGAATTTTTAAAATCTGAAGATGCACAAAAATGTACAAAAAAACGTTTGTTTGAATTTACAATTTTAACGCATTCTCAAGATATAAAAACTGTTCGAACGATACGAAGATGAAATAACTTGTACTGTGAAAGGGGAATCAAATATAATACTTCATAGAGTGAATTAATTGTTATAAAAAAACATTTTACAAAAAAAAGTGATGGAAATTGAATTAGCTTTTTGGACATAATTTTTGAAGTATACCAACAAAGAGAGATCACATGCAAATGGTATCGAAAACCAACTGATACTGAAACTTCTTTGTATTTTCGCAGCTGTGCACCCCTCAAGCAATAAAAAAAGCATTGAGGAAGGAACAACACACAGGTTTTGTTGATGTACCGGGAAATGGAACAATTTTGAAGAAGCGTCAAAAACTAACGAAGAACTTAGGACAAAAAAATCCTGAATCTGTAATGCTGGACATCAAAAGCAAAGGCTGAACCCAGTCGCGAGGAAATTGGCAAACTCTTAAGTATGGACAATCTAAGGCATTTGATTGGCGAGTAATTGACAAAAGCAATGAGGCTGAGAAATTATTAACATCGGAGGCCCTCCATATAAGTTAACGCAAGCCACAACTGAACACGCGCGATGAGAACAGGAGCCGTTAGGTCATACTAAAATATTAGTCTGACACTAGGTATGAGTGATGGATTCGAATTTTATTTTCAATTTGAAACATGCAAAATGACTAAATTTATTAGTTTATCCTGAGAAATGATATCACAAAGGTGGAAAAATTGGTTTGAAAAAATTGTTTTAATAATTGTTTAATAATCTTAGATACTCATACACTTTAACATTAATCATTTTGATTGTAAAATTCTTTTTGACTGTGAATACTTTGACTTTTAGTTGTAGATACCTCATAATGCTAGTTAAAGCAAATCTTTTGTATTTTAATAATTTTTTATTGACTTAAATTTATTTAAACCAATTTATTTGCTGGTGTTCTACTTCGCTCGTAAAAATTTGTAGACTAACAAAAAATTGAACGATTTAAATGAACACTTGTCTAAAAAATTATTGAATAAAATAGTAGACTCACCGTCTACATCTTTGCAGTTTCCGTATCGTTTCCAGTTGTGTTACAAAATTGCCATTAGCCTCCGTGGGAGTTCTCAGAGGTAAAACCGTATTTTGAATGGGTATAGAAAGAAAACCTCAAAACGATTGCTGCAACTGCGAGTGTAAGGTAGCTTACAAGTCAAGTCAAGTCAAGTCAAGTCAAGTCAAGTCAAGTTTTTATGACCATTAGGCAGTGCCCCTTGTGGTCATTTCAAAGGTTTTTTTTCCTATCTCTGTTCGAATTGGTACACGTCAATTCCAATCGCTTTCCAATGTTTGTCCAGTTCCCACTTGAATTCGTCGATATTCTTGCTTTGCACTGTTTCCTGTGGCAGATTATCCAGTCGAGAGGTGCTCTTATCGTGAAGAAGTTTTTTTGCATTTCTAGATTTGCTTTACGTACTACCATTTTACATGCGTTACCTGTAGAATCCCTATCATTGTCCCTCTTTTCCTTCTGTATTCCAGCGATGATAGATTCAGTTCTTTGAGGCGTTCGTGATAGGATAGATTTTTCACACATCTAACCAGACGCGTCGCTCTTCTTTGTACGTTTTCCAAGATCTTTTGATGCTTGATCAGTCTTGGGTGCCATATTAAGTTCGCAAATTCAAGGTGTGGCCGTATCAAGCATTTGTAGATGCTTAAAAATACTTGTTTCGTGACTTTAGTGAAGCTTTTCTTAATTACTGCTATCATGCCGTTTGCCTTATTGGCTTTTTTAGTGATGGGTGTTTCGAATGTCAGTTTGTTGTCAAGACAGATACCCAAGTATTTTTCGAGTTGCACTTCTTTAATGTTTTCGCCATTGATTTTATAAATCCTCTCCATGTCCAGTTTCTTGTTTTCCTCTTGTCATGTGAACACAATTGTCGATATAAAAGGACAAAAGACTTTGGCCTGACCAAGTTTCTAGTGATTGTAAATCTTCATGTATGCGTGTTACATCCAATTTGTCTTCAATTTGACGGTATAATTTCGCATCGTCAGCAAACATGTATATTTTTGACGCTATTTCGTCCGGCATTGTGTTGATGTATATCAAAAACAAAACTGGATCGAGTACTGAACCCTGGGGTAACCCACTATTTACTGGCTGCCATGAGGATCTTGAATCGTTGATTACCACTCTCTGTTGTCGTCCCGAAAGAAAGTCTGTTATCCAGTTTAAGGTTCTTCCAGTTACTCCATACTGTCTAAGAACTCCGATTAGTCTTTTGTGCGGTACCGAATCGAAGGCTTTTTTGAAGTCCAAGTATATCACGTCGACATTTTCATGATTGTCCATTGCCCTGGTGAAGTCATCAATTACTTTCAGGAGTTGTAAGTTCAGTGAACGTCTAGATCGAAAACTGTATTGTGCATTTGTTATTAGTCCTTTTTCATTGAAATGATCCATTAAATGCTTGCGAACAAAATTTTCGAATAACTTGCAAAATATTGA